TTTGGTTCATATAGCTTGTTATACCAACTACACTGTGTGTTAAGTATCTCAATCTAAGACTGGTTCATATAGTTTGTTATACCAGCTCTGATGCATTACATCCTATGAGACCCAGAATAAAAGTTCTTATCTTTCTTTTAATGTTTGAACTATTTGAGTCAAAGATTGTTTCTTTCAACTCTCTTTTGCAATATGTGGGTGATTGCTATAATATATTAATATTATAATATTGTAAAAGTTAATTTTGGTTTAAAAACATTAATTGTGAGGTTGAATTTCAGAACGTTGTATTACAACGTTAGTATTTTAATTGGCAACGAAAAAAAAAATTTCATTAAGCAACAATCAAAATTTTTAAAGTGCTTCAATGTTAATTATTTTACTTTTATTGTCTTTTATTTCTTTTATTCTTTCCCAACTCTATAGATAGAGAGATTTTCCCCATTCTAATACACATCAAAAGCAATCTTTCTCATTCTCCTCTCTTCTTAGTTTCATTCTTTAGCTCTTTTTCTCTTTCAAAAATTATTCTGGGTTATTTTATACTCTTTTGAGAGATTCTTGCTAGTTCTGAGATCCTCATAAATATTCTGGGAAGTTCCTATTGTATCGTGGGGGACTTGCACAATACATCGCAGATAAGTCCTTAAGGACAATGAAACTACACGCCTCAAAAAATTTTCTTCGTGATTCTATCAGCCTTTTTACAACAAGAATGAGCCAAAACGCTCGTGAGAAGCATGGATAAATACTCATTTTTGACAACTTAGTGTCGACACCGCCTGACCCCATCCTAGAACCATTTGTCACACTGGTTAAAATGCGAAAAAGGGGCTCTTTGAGTTTGCATCGCCCAACACCATTTCATCACCGCCCAACGCTAGTTGTTCCAGCTTGGCTACCCAATAAACTGCATCCCGACATGAGTATTTTCTTAAAGGAAAATGACACTTGAACAACCATTTTTGACAACATTTAGACACGCGCACACGTGTCAAAATCTGAGTGGTCCAGTTGGAAAAATTAAATGAAAATGGACCACTCAGATTTTGACACGTGTGCGCGTGTCTAAATGTTGTCAAAAATGGTTGTTCAAGTATCATTTTCCTTTCTTAAAAAGATCATATTTTGTTATCCAATCATGCTTCATTGAAGTCTAGCTTGCTATCCTACACCATAATTGGTTCTTATTCATTTATTTCAAACACTCAAAATGATATTAGAGGTCAAATAAACACAAAATAACTAANATCACCTATATGAGTGTCAAGTGGGGCCGCTTGCATGAGATCTTGGCCTGATATCTAGAGCACTCATGAATACCGGACACGCGCATGGCTTAGTAAGCGCAACACAACGATAATAGCAAGGATTGTGGGGGTGTATTGTGATTGAGAAACCTCTAACACACATCAAGTGTCTTTGGTTCATATAGTTTGCTATACCAACTACACTGTGTGTTAAGTATCTCAATCTAAGACTGGTTCATATAGCTTGTTATACCAGCTCTGATACATTACATCCTATGAGACCCAGAATAAAAGTTCTTATCTTTCTTTTAATGTTTGAACTATTTGAGTCAAAGACTGTTTCTTTCAACTCTCTTTTGCAATATGTGGGGGATTGCTATAATATATTAATATTATAATATTGCAAAGGTTAATGTTTGGTTTAAAAACATTAATTGTGAGGTTGAATTTCATAACGTTGTATTACAACGTTAGTATTTTAATTGGCAACGAAAAAAAATTCATTAAGCAACAATCAAAATTTTTAAAGTGCTTCAATGTTAATTATTTTGCTTTTATTGTCTTTTATTTCTTTTATTCTTTTCCAACTCTATAAATAGAGAGATTTTCCCCATTCCAATACACATCAAAAGCAATCTTTCTCATTCTCCTCTCTTCTTAGTTTCATTCTTTAGCTCTTTCTCTCTTCCAAAAATTATTTTGGGTTATTTTATACTCTTTTGAGAGATTCTTGTTAGTTCTGAGATCCTCAGAAATATTCTGTAAAGTTCCTATTATATCGTGGGGGACTTGCGCAATACACCGCAGATAAGTCCTTAAGGACAATGAAACTACACGCCTCAGGAAATTTTGTTCGTGATTCTATCAGCCTTTTTACAACAAGAATGAGCCAAAACCCTCGTGAGAAGCATGGATAAATACTTATTTTTGACAACTTAGTGTCGACACTGCCTGACCCCATCCTAGAACCATTTGGCACACTTGTTAAAATGCGAAAAAGGAGCTCTTTGAGTTTGCATCGCCCAACACCATTTCATCACCGCCCAACGCTAGTTGTTCCAACTTGGCTACCCAATAAACTGCATCCCGACATGAGTATTTTCTTAAAAAGATCATATTTTGTTATCCCATCATGCTTCGTTGAAGTCTAGCTTGCTATCCTACACCATAATTGGTTCCTGTTCATTTATTTTAAACACTCAAAATGATATTAGAGGTCAAATAAACACAAAATAACTAAAACATAAGAAGTAACAAAAACGAAATAAACTTGAAGATTAAATAAAATAAAAATTANTATTTTCATTTATATTTATATTCATATTTATTTTATTTGAAAATGTATTTTTAACTTTATATTTATTTATTTATTTTTATTATTCAGATTTATTTTATTGAGTGAGTATCTATAACATCTTTTTTTATATTTATTTTATTATTAAGGTGTCCATAACTTCATTTTTATTTATTTTTATTTATATTTATTTTATTCACGGAGTGTACTTAATCTTATTTTTTATTTATTTATCTTTATTATTTGGATGTATTTTATTATTCAAGTATTCATAATTTTATTTTTATTTATTTATATTTATATTTATTTTATTTAATACGATGTATCTAACTTCATTTTTATTTAATTATATTTATTTTGTAGTGAGATGTCTCGTTTTTATATCTTTTACTATGCATTGATCCTAATAAATATGAAAATCAAGTATTATAGATAAATAATTAGGATCGATGCAATGAGATATAAAAATGAGATTAGAGACACTTCATTAAATAAAATAAATATGTATATATAAAAGATAAAAATAAGATTGTAGACATCTCATTGAATAAAATAAATCTAAATAATGAAAATGAATAAATAAAAAATGAGATTAATAACATCCCTTACTAAAATAGATATGAATATAAATAAACAAAAATAAAGTTATGGACATATCACTAAATAAAATAAATATGAGTATAAATATAAATGAAAATAAGACACTGATAAAAGAAATTTGAAAAAAAAAGATAAATAAATAAAAATAAATTAAGAATACTTCATTAAATAAAATAAAATAAATATAAATATAAATGAAGCTATGAACACCCGAATGAAATAAATCTAAATAATAAAGTTAAATAAATAAAAATGGGTTAAAACATTTCACCGAATAAAATAAATATAAATAAAAAAGTAATGTTTGTGTATGTAAAATGATAAATGTTTGTTTTCTTTACCTTAGAAATTACAGAAGATGCAAGGGTGATGGAGAAGATGAATATCAAAACAAAAGTTAAGTCCCGTAATGAAGGGGTTGGATATAGGAGATAGAGTGGTTAAAATTTGATGAAGCTAATGGATTTACGAGGATTATAGAATGGTTTATATGTTGAAATGGAATGATATTGTGTAGAAGTCAATGATGTATGAGTAATGTAGAAAGTGAATAAAGAAATTATATGGAGAAAATAGGTGGAAAAATAATAAAATAATAAATAAAGAAATTAGATGAAAAAAATGGATAAAGAAAACTAATAGAAAAAAATGTGTGCTAATTAAACGAAGAAAATAAATGAAAAGAAATAAAAAATAAGTGAAAAAATTAGAGGAAGAAAATTGATGAAAAAAATAATAAAAAAAAGTGTGTAATTGAATCAACCACTATTAAAACAAAATTTGTAAAGTTTTATTTAAATTTGGCCTTTTCACTTCTATTCAAATTTCAAGCTCTACTCTTATTCAACTTCTTCAGCATGCCAAAACACAATAAGATACGTAAGAGAAAAAAGAACAGTAAGTTATTTCATATAGTGCTTTAAATCAAACAAGTCAATTACAAACTGGAGGCAATTAGAATTACATTAACCATGAAGCTTTATTCAGAAGAAAATCAAAGAAGAAGAATGAGAATAAATATGAATGTGGTAAGAGACAACATCAACTCTGTGTATTTGGAGGTAAGTATATTTGAATTCTTTGCTGAGTTTCTAACCATTCTCTCTGTTTTCTGCTGTAACTTTAAAATATATTAACAGACATTAATTTTGATATTATAAAATATATTAAAATCTTTTTTAATATATTAATATCAATGCATTTTGAAAGTGCAGCAGAAAATTTAGTAGAGAATTTAGACTCAGTAAAGATATCATTTGTCACAAGACAAGAAATAAAAGAAAACACAGCAAAATCTTGCTATCTGCAGAATGTGTTTACTATTGTACCNCAAGGGTGATGGAGAAGATGAATATCAAAACAAAAGTTAAGTCCCGTAATGAAGGGGTTGGATATAGGAGATAGAGTGGTTAAAATTTGATGAAGCTAATGGATTTACGAGGATTATAGAATGGTTTATATGTTGAAATGGAATGATATTGTGTAGAAGTCAATGATGTATGAGTAATGTAGAAAGTGAATAAAGAAATTATATGGAGAAAATAGGTGGAAAAATAATAAAATAATAAATAAAGAAATTAGATGAAAAAAATGGATAAACAAAACTAATAGAAAAAAAATGTGTGCTAATTAAACGAAGAAAATAAATGAAAAGAAATAAAAAATAAGTGAAAAAATTAGAGGAAGAAAATTGATGAAAAAAATAATAAAAAAAAGTGTGTAATTGAATCAACCACTATTAAAACAAAATTTGTAAAGTTTTATTTAAATTTGGCCTTTTCACTTCTATTCAAATTTCAAGCTCTACTCTTATTCAACTTCTTCAGCATGCCAAAACACAATAAGATACGTAAGAGAAAAAAGAACAGTAAGTTATTTCATATAGTGCTTTAAATCAAACAAGTCAATTACAAACTGGAGGCAATTAGAATTACATTAACCATGAAGCTTTATTCAGAAGAAAATCAAAGAAGAAGAATGAGAATAAATATGAATGTGGTAAGAGACAACATCAACTCTGTGTATTTGGAGGTAAGTATATTTGAATTCTTTGCTGAGTTTCTAACCATTCTCTCTGTTTTCTGCTGTAACTTTAAAATATATTAACAGACATTAATTTTGATATTATAAAATATATTAAAATCTTTTTTAATATATTAATATCAATGCATTTTGAAAGTGCAGCAGAAAATTTAGTAGAGAATTTAGACTCAGTAAAGATATCATTTGTCACAAGACAAGAAATAAAAGAAAACACAGCAAAATCTTGCTATCTGCAGAATGTGTTTACTATTGTACCTTCTTTTTACTCTCCCAATATTCATCTTCCCAAGTTTCTACCTGTCTTATTGAATTAGCTTTTCTGTCTAGAAATTGTTGTAGGCTTGTGGCATCATATGGAGGAGGAATAGTGCATGGATCTGAATCACTAGGAAACTTCACCATTGAATCTTCCATGAACCTTCTCTCTGTACCATTTAAAGCACATGCCATTGTTTCAGGACAATACTCCACAGCTTTTGGAGGTATAACTGGTTTGAACCTTAGAAGCTTTGCATATTCATTTAGCAGGTGAAACATGTAATCATACACATGGTCCATGTCCATGTCCTCATGAATGAATTTGCTTGCAGCCTCCCCTATCGCTTCTGCCTGCAAATTTGAGTGATGTTAAGACACACAGTTTTGTGTACAATACAATAAGAAAGTTTCATCATTCCATATTTAAGATTTGCAAAAAATTCACTTTCCAAGATAGTAAAATATTGTTCGTTTTGAGTTAAGTTTCACAAATTTGTTTTTTTATTATTCTAAAAAGATCTTTTAACCAGAAAGATATCTTATTTGTATATAAATTTATGTTTGTTGTTTTATTTAATGAGACTTCGCGATTAAACGGTGGATGAGCAATGCTCGAGATCAACCGTGGCCGTGAAGACTCGACAATCTAATCGATAAAATTCTATTAAGTTCTTGACAGAAAGCAAAGACGTTTTTAACGAAACCTCAAGTCAGACGGGCTATCTGTTGAGTTTAAACGTATCAATAAACGGAGGAAAACGGAGGAGGAAGAGAAACTAACAAGGATTTCCTTTAATAACGGAAGCGACCCGAGAACATTCCACCAAATCGGTCTCGTGTTTGTATCTTAACAAGATTGAGAGTGAGAGAATACCTTGTCAGTGTGGTTGTTGCCCCATTCCACGGCAAATTTAAGAGAAGTGCACTTGCTATTGTCTCTAATGGGCCAATAGTGTTCCAATGGCACCATGCCTCGGATAAAAAAATCATGGAACCGAGACCTAACATATAAGTTTGTAGAATCGCATGCCAAAATGTACTTTTCACTCACAGACCAAGCCCAACCTTCTACATATATTTTGTACCTGTGTCAGCATCATTGACATAGATTTCACACAACAATTTATCAGAATGTCACAGATAGATGTAAATACAATAAACGTTTGGTGTTTGAATCTTACCTATGTGTGCATTGGTCCCCTAAGTTGGATTGCTTGAACCCTTGATGGGATTCTTGTTCCCAGTCCTGTGACCAAAACAAAGCATGTAATCAAAATACAAGTTTTCCCTTTTTTTGAAGTGAATTACAGAGCAAAAAAATGGTAAAAAAGTGAGAAAAACCTGTATGTATAGGCGAGTGTTCCAGTCATCTTTCTCTGTGAGATTGCATTTCATAAGGTTTTTCCTTGTTGGAGTCACATAAGGGTTACCCTTCCAGTAGGCATATGGCACTCTTTCTTTCCACTTTGTCTTCTTGTTCCCATTTTTAATATCTTCTAGCACATATTTCCATGGCTTTATGTTTATTTCAGCCCTGTTATAAGAAAATCCAGATTACAGTTCTTGTATAACTGATGGAACAAGATATTGGGTTAAGTTATGTGTACAATCAATTTCAACCATGTAGAAAAAATGTTAGGCAGTTTCTT